GCAAAGGTTTCTTAGGATCCTGCAAAGGTTTCTTAGGATCCTGCAAAAGTTTCTTAGGATCCTGCAAAAGTTTCTTAGGATCCTGCAAAGGTTTCTCATGATCCTGCAAAAGTTTCCCGTGATCCTGCAAAGGTTTCTCGTGATCCTGCAAAAGTTTCCCGTGATCCTGCAAAAGTTTCTCATGATCCTGCAAAAGGTTTCTCGTGATCCTGCAAAAGTTTCTCATGATCCTGCAAAAGGTTTCTCGTGATCCTGCAAAAGTTTCTTAGGATCCTGCAAAGGTTTCTTAGGATCCTGCAAAGGTTTCTCGTGATCCTGCAAAAGTTTCTCGTGATCCTGCAAAAGTTTCTCATGATCCTGCAAAAGTTTTTTAGGATCCTGCAAAAGTTTCTTAGGATCCTGCAAAAGTTTCTTAGGATCCTGCAAAAGTTTCTTAGGATCCTGCAAAGGTTCCTCATGATCCTGCAAAGGTTTCTTAGGATCCTGCAAAAGTTTCTTAGGATCCTGCAAAAGTTTCTCAGGAGCCTGACAAATCCTGACTTAACTTTTGCAGGATCTTGCAAAAGTTAAGTCAGGATTTGTTTTTTCTTTTTCTCCATGTCCGCTTACGTATGAAATGATTCGGTGTGAAAAAACAAAACAAAACAAAACAGATTTTGTTTGTTTTTTACTTGCAGTGTGAACATGTTTGTTTTATCTGGTTTTTATACTCAAGTTTGATTTTCATCAGCTGATTGCTGTTTTTAGAGATGAAAAACGTTGCGAAATATCATTAAAAAATAGATTAGTGTATCAAACTGCAGCGGTTGTCAAAACTAGAAAAAACTTGGTAATATGGTGCTGTGCAAAAGTTTTAGGCAGGCGAGGGGGAAAAATGCAGTAAAGTTGGAATTTTTTCACTAACATAAATTTATATTTTCGTTTTGACTTTAGAGAAGAGGTAGTTTTTAGTCTCCTTATATTAATCAGATTGATTGAATCTTGTTTCTTGGCTTGTTTTTTTTCAGCCTGTTGTACAAAACCTTTTTTCTCTCCTCCTCCTGCAGGTGAACTACACTGTCAGCACGGAGATCGGCAGCAGCGCTCCGTATGTCTAGTAAGTTTTTACACCTAAACTTTGTCATTTAGCTCGAACACAACAACCAGATGGGTCGCAGCCTTTTCAGATCTGTTATTTCTGTTATTTTCAGCGCCTTCTGCACATTACCCGCCATCAAGGTCCACAACATCGTTGTACTTATGCAGTAAGTGTCTTTTAGAAAATGTAAATTTACACTAATTAAGTAGGTGTTTTTATCAGAATTGAGTAGAATATTTAAAAACACTATAAAAACTAACGTTTCAGACTAGCTGAAAGTAGCTTTATTTAGGTAGACTTTAGCTGCTTTAGTGTTTCATTGCTTTTGGCTCACAGCGTTTTACATTTTAGCTTTAAAAAACTCAATTATATTTTATTTACTGAACACAAAATAATCCACTTTTTTTGTCCTAATAGTTCTAAATACTCTTCTTTGTCCTCGCCTGTGTTCAGAACCACGGTGAAAACTTCCTACATGGTGCGAACGTCCCAGAACAGCCTGGAGGCGTATCGCTACATAGACTGTGGATCCAACACCACGTACCCCCGGAGGGGCAAACAAAGTCTCCCACGGTTCTGATCCCTCCTGAAACTGGTGCCTGACAGGTGTGGGGTTTTTATTCTGTCCGTTACAAAGAAGCTACATCGTTTCACCGCCTGCAGCAGCTAAATGCTTAAAAACAAAAACACAACTCAAACATGAGAAATGGACAAGTTCAGCTTGGCTTTTATCACCTGTTTATCATTATTAGAGTTGGATTTTCATCGGTTTACTCTCGTTCACTCATGTTGTTGACAACGAAGAGGCAAATTTAACATTTTTCTGCCACTGAGCTCAGTTCAGATTCACAATAAGCTCCTTTCATTCAGGAAAAATGACTTAAATTCTCAGACATGAGTAACATTTGCACTACAACTGGTTCTGTTTCTGCTGATGTAAAATATCAAAACGTTATAAATGCAGCTAACTTAAAAGATATGGAAGAAAAGAGGGATTGCTGTTTCTGCTTTAAAATGAGATATTTTTTTTCTTCTTTTGCTGGCTGTCAGTTTTACAGTTAAAAGATTTTTAACAGAATAATTTAATTGAACAATAAAGTTTTTATAGATGAAAACTTGAAGCAGTTCTTGTTCCGGTTCAGTCGGGGCCACACAAGGAAGAAAATATATACAGTATATATTTTTTGTCACTTTGATCACAAACACAGGAACATATTTATTTTTTCACTTCCATTAAAGGGTCGGCAGTGAGTTTCTGATACTTTTTGAAGACATCAAATCTTTTCAAAATGTTGTAATTTTACATCAAAATGCCAAAGGGAAGTGTGAACATTTTAAAAATCGGGGGGAAAAAAAAGACTTTAGTTTATTTGTAGACTTGAAAGTTATATTGGCAGCCAGGAAACTTTAAGCTGAACTGTTTTAAAATACATTTACTTTACAGCAAAACTACTTTGCTATAAAAACACTGCGTTTATTTAAGCAACGTTCTAAACTATTTTTCTTTCCTTGTTTAAATGTTTTTAGCTGCAACACGAACCAGTAATTCAGGGACATTAAAACCACTCGACTACATGGAAACTTTGAACAATGTTACTTTAGCAGGTTTTTTTAAGCATCAAATGCACAAAAGCAGCAAAAAAAACTCAAAATAATCACTCCAGTAAGCAATAAGCAGTGTTTTCTTTGATTTTTATTATTTGCATACAAAACAGCATAATATACTTTTGCACAAAAAAAAATTCCTTTTCTGCCTCATAGCTGCTTGTGAAAATATATTACTACATGATAGCAGATCGAGACCACAATATATTATTGCTGTAATACAAGTCGTGTTTTTTTTCTCTTTCTACCAACTGAAAACACTAAGTGAATAAAAAGTACAAGAAGTAATAAGTACAAAAATATAGTTTGATARAGAGCTTATTAATACAAGAGTGCTTCATCTTTGGTTATGTTTTTTGGCCACTGRTCAGTGAGTGTGTGTGTTTGATGTGTTGTGGTGAATTAACGGAAAACGTTTCCTAACAGCGTCGGGAGTTTCCACTCCAGCTCTTTATTCGTGTCTTGGCTCCTCCCCCAACTCTGGTTTTCACATACATGACTTTAAAACACCGGACGTGTCGATACCTTCATCTACTTCTTCATCCTTGTGTCGCACCGAAACCATGTTTGAGTCTTGAGCTTTCACGTCTGTGTGAGTGGAACGTGATTGTCCATTATGATTATTTTTTTTAAATGTTAAATGGTGATAAAGGTGCCATTTGTACAAACAGGAAGTTCATGACGTMACTTTGGTCTCCAACAAAAAATATAAACATCTGATTTTTCAGGCAGTTTTGTATCTAAATGTTCATCCTTGTCGGATTTTATTTATATAAAATCCAGTCTCAGCCTTCAGGAAGCTGCTTGTCGGTTCTGTCACTGTTTCCACTTCACAAAAAACCTTTTTATAAATAATTAATGGGTTATTCATTAGTTCCCAACATTTTTAGACTTGTGTACCCCCTGAGCCATTTTGTCACACCACTAGTACCCCCTCAGTCAAACGTAATGATTCTCCAAAACTATAATGTACAACACCTGATTATTAAATGAAAAGTATTTATTTAACCCMYTRGAACATTTAATTCTCAGGCATTTTATTCTTTTCAACTCAAATTAAACAAAGATAAAAACGTTGCCTTGAAAGTAAATAAATAAACCAGGTATTGGCAGGTGCAGGAAGCAGCAGCGCCCAAAGTACATCAAATACCCCAAATGAGCAAATTCTGGGAGATTCTGCATTTTTTACACGATTCCATTTTGTGATTCAGTTTGCATTTTCCACATTGCAGAAATCAGAGCCCTACATGTCTCAGTCCTATTTTTATCATTTTTTTTATACACCTGGAAAATTTTTCCATGTACCCCCTGTAATATGCTTGCGTACCCCTGGTTGGGAATCACTGCTTTAGTTTAAAGTGCCTGTGACATCAACTTTAGTAATAAATAGGAATGCAGTTTTGAAAAAATTACACTGATAACATTTTGTAAAAAAGATTTCACGCTGCTGAGATGAACAGTTGTTGAGATATTTGCATGTGAAATAACAGGAAGTGATGTCAAAGGGGAATGTCTGAACATGAACACAGCGTTGCTACAAAGGCCGACAGCTCACGCTGTAGGGACACATCTGATGTTTCTTTAGATTATTTCAATTACTATTAYAGAGAGATGAGAAAAAGTCAGAGTTCAAATAACATTGTTTCAATAAACAAAGACCAGAGAGTTTTCTTTGTTAAAGTTCCCCTTTGATGTCACTTCCTGTTTCACTTTGGCTGAGCCAAGTTCAGAAGAAAATATGCCAATTATGTGACATAATGGGTAAAATCACGTGTATTGTTTCAAGTTTCATTAATATAAAGATGTTTGACTTTTTTCATGGGTATGCATGTCACGGGCTCTTTAAAGTGTTTACCTTCCTAAAAGTAACTTTTTTATAAAGTATTTTATATAAATTGGTTCTTACTGTGAAGTGGAACCAGCATCTAACAGTATCAGAAACACAGCATCCTGATTTGGCCTTTTTAAATATATCGTAGCCCTTTAAGTATCTGATATTTTAAAGCTTTTTCCTTCAAATGAATAAAAATAAGGTGGGATTTACGGTATAAAAAGTACAAACACTTCGCTGAAGCTGTTTTAGTCGAACATTAGTTTTACTCCAACTTCANCTCTTCTTCTTTAAATGTTTTCTTTTTGTCCCGTCCGTGCTGCTCGTTTTGACGTCTTTGCTTGGTTTTATCGGCGCGGCGCCAGCATGACCTTGTTGATGAAGTTGACGATGGCAGAGGCCGGCTGTTCGGGGTCCAGCTCTGCGAACAGGTGGCAGACGTTTTCCGCCACGCTGCCCGGCTTCTTGGCCACAAAACCAAACACTCTGCGGGGAAGAGGGGGGGGGGGGTAAGAGAGGAGAAGAAATGAGGAAAAAGATGTTTTTGGAGGAACTGAACACTGATGTGACATTCATCGTTTTTATTTTTCTGTATATTTTTATGCCTTCTGACGACTTCTGCATATTTTAGCTACTTGAATTATATATATTGAATATACTTAATCTACTTTTAATTTTATTATTATTTTAATTCTACTGTTATTGTTATTGGTGATACTGTCACATAGCAATATATTGTTTTTGTGGATTGATGTATCTGCTGCTGCTGTTACTCCTGTTTCTATTCTATTCTATCTTTGCTTTTGTATTTGATTTTTGCTAATGTTTAGCTAGCATTTTGCTAATGTTCTGCTTCTTTAAGCTTTTAGCTATTTCGTTTAGTGYTCTGCTTTAATAACTCAGCAGAGGTCAGCACTTTCTCCATTTAATTCAGTTTTGTTGACGTGATTAACTTCGGCCAAGACTTTTAATCCGCTGCCATGCAGAGGCTCTGATAAAGGCTCGTTTTCTCAGCCGCAGTCAAGAATCCACATTCTCGAAATGACTTCACTTACTTAGCGGTCGTGCCGTCCAAGTTAGTCCACCTACAGTCCAGAGAGACAGAGAAAGAAAGAGACAGAGACTGGACTCAGAGGGACGTGCAGACGCAGGCAGAGCTGCTAAAACAAGCAGCCAACATGCTCGCAGACAGCTAATTCATGCACCGACACGCGGCAAATGAGAGGTTTTAGATGCAGTCGGCTCTTTTGTTCTCCCACCTTCTGTCCTTGGGGTCGATGCTGCTGAAGGTCACGGTGTTCACCGGGTAATGTCTCCTGAAGAAAACCCTGGGAAAAGAAAAGATGAAAACACTTAGCTGGTAGTTTCATTTGTCAGAACTAAACAAATCAGAGATGATAAAACAATACGGTCTCACCTCCGCTGGCTGTCAGTCAGCGTGATGCCCTGTGACGTCACCTTAAACTGGACTACAGTCGGGGATGGACGGGGGTTGCGACCCAGTGTGGCGTCTGTGGCCTTGGCGATGGCCTGGGGGCCGGTCAGGGACTCGGTCTCCACAGAGTTCAGGTAGAGGACGTTACAGGCTGGAAAGGCCAAAAAAGGAGACAAACAGCTCCTAACAGTTCGTCTTTTAAAGGGATCCATGATTAGTTGTAACATTAGACTTTATTTGATAACCATTTATTTTGACTGTAAAATAAAAACTGTAAAAATACTGTAGGATGTTCAGTTTTTATTATTTTTAAACTAAAAGTTTAAAAATATATTAGTCGGACAGGGCCATTTTATTTACATGCAAAGCGTTCTGGGTAAATGATGACGTGGATAGGTCCTCGGTGCGAGGCTGCTGGCGAGCTATATCCACCCTGAAGGTTAATCTTGGACAATATCTGATGATCGACTCTTTTAAATGAAACCAGAGAGCGTTGACA